CTTGGTGTCATCTGCAAACTTACTGAGGGAGCACTCAATCCCCTCAGCCACATCATTGATAAAGGTATTAAACAAGACTGGCCCCAAAACTGAGCCCTGGGGAACACCACTCACGACCGGCCACCAACTGGATTTAACTCCATTCACCACAACTCTCTGGGCTTGGCCATCCAGACAGTTTTTTACCCAGCAAAGTGTGCACCCATCCAAACCATGAGCAGCTAGCTTCTCCAGGAGGATGCTGTGGGAAACAGTGTCAAAGGCCTTACTAAAGTCCAGGTAGATAACATCCACAGCCTTTCCCTTATCCACTAGGCAGGTCACCTGGTCATAGAAGGAGATCAGGTCGGTCAAGCAGGACCTGCCTTTCACGAACCCATGCTGGCTGGGCTTCATCCTCTGATTGTCCTGCACATGCCTTAATTATATGTAATTAAAAGCAATATCAGAAATTTAATTTAAATTTTTTCACCCAAAATCATTTTTCACAAGGTCTTCAATATGAGCATAGGCATGAGTGAATGGGAGATTTAAACTAGAATTTTGGCATTGGTATTTGCCAGTGATTTAAAAAAATGTGTAAAATGTCTGTAATGCAACTCACTGTTGCTAGAAGTAGAAGTAGCGTCTCCTTCTCCTCCTCCTGTACTCCTCCTGAATGCACTCCTCAACCTGTGTTAGTGGGCTGATGAGATTTGACTTTTTTTTTTTTAATATTACTATAACAGGTGAAATTACAGATCTTAACATGTTCACATGAAAATGGGAGATTTTTCTTTGGCTGACCGCATATTCTCCACTCTGATTATCTGTATGTTCAAGGACAAAAATCTTTTGTTCACACTACATGGACCAGATTGAAAAAGACACAAAGAGGAGGAGCCCTTGCCTTCTGAGTGCACAAGACAGGTTCGGGGAAATAATTCCAAAATTTCTGTCATTAGCCCAGAGCCTTTCCCATGCTTCCAACCAGCTAGGCTGTTTGTGTGGAAAATGATAAAAGGAGATGAACATTTCAATAATAACTAGACACTAGGAACTTCAAAACATGTCATGACACTCCTGCTGTGGTTGCTCAGGTGCTGGACAGAGAGGAATAACCACTTCCCCCAACCTGATGGCTACATTTTTACTAATGCAGGCCAATATGCGGTTCGCTTTTATTGCCACAGACATGCGGAACGTGTCGTTCATCAGAATCCCTAGATCTTTTTCTGCAGTGCTGCTTTCTGATCATTTGGCCCCCAGCCTGTACTGTTGCAAGAGATTCTACTGTCCCAGGTGCAGCATTATTGTATTTGCCTTTGTTGAACTTCATGAGGTTTCCATCAGTCCAGTTCTCCAGCCTTTTGAGACCCCTCTAAACAGCAGTCCTGCCATTGAGTGTGTCAGCTGCTCCCCTTAATTTAGTATTATCCACAAACTCATTGAAATTTGTGGCACTTTTACACTAAATGTGGTTTATTCAAGAGGCTGTGACAGGGAATGTTGTGATTTGAAAAATGCTGTATTTCACATTCTGTGGTGTAAGTCACATGATGAGGCAGTTGCTTTGATTAGCTGGTGTACTTGAAGCTTTCTGTGTTTAAATCGATGTGTAGCAGCGACCAGGAAGCTGCAGACAGTGAGTCAGCACTTTGACATGGTAAGTTAGACATTTCCTCTCTTAATTTTTTTAGGAAGGAAATGTGCACAGAATATTAAGCGATGGATCTTTTTCTGCAGTCTTGCAAATGTATAGCTTGCTTTCCTTAAAGGTTTGTTTGATGATCTGTGTGTTAGTTAAATTTCAGAATTAGAATGAGCAGAATTTTAGTTTTTATTCTATGCAAGTAATATATTTCATTGGCTTACGGTTAATATTAATAATATTAGATGTGGTGCTAATTCAGTATAATTTTTAAATTGTGATATATTGAACAAGTGTTGGAAAGTTGTTTAAACAGTGATATGCTGTATTTCCCATGTCCCGGTGTGATTATCGTATTGAGCATAAAAGACTCTTGATGCCTCTGAGTTAGAATACGCCTCTGCTGTTTACAGATGTTTTCCAAAACAGTTTTCAGTATGCTGTGTTTGTTAACAGAATGTGAATCATAAAATACATGTCTCATATATGTTTAAGTTGGTGTACTTTATGGTAACTGTGTAGATTTGGGTTTTTTTTTTCTTAAAATCATTTTATATATATATATACATACTTTTTCCAGAGTTCTGCTTCGTGGATATACAGGATGGCGTTGAAAATAAAGTGCTACACGTAATCTGAATAGGGCAGAAAATTAAGATGTTATTGTAGAACAGAAAATAAATACATCGTGTTCTTGTAGGAGGTGCTGGATTGAAGAATAATTAAAAATAGGGATAGAAAAAGAGCTGCAGCAAAGGAACAGGCTAGGTGATTATGGGAAAAGGGGATGAATGGGTTTGGATAAAGTATTAGGGGAAATGCAGAAGAGTGATGTTAGTAAGGACTGAGGAAGCTTTGTCAGACGGTGGGGTCTGTAGCCCTTTCTGTGGCTCTTCATCTTGATCTCACAGGGAGCTCCAGGCCCTCTCTGTCTGCTCGCTGAGTAATAGTCCCCAAGAGCTGGGGAAGGGAAGGGGGAGTTGGGAATAAGCATACCAATTAGATGGAACTAGTATTTAGCATTGAGGCTTGGACAATGTGTTGAAACCTGAGGCATGATGGAATGGAAGAAGGTACATTGTTGCAGTCTGCTCCTGTCAGAGTCAAGGGAGACTGGTTGAGCTGTCTGGTTTCGTTCTGGTGGAAAAAAAAAAGAAAGCAGCATAATCTTGAGAACATAAAAGCTGCCAGGTGTTCAAAGTCTGCCTGAAAATTAGCACAAAAAAAAAGAATAAATTAAATTTTTTTTTAAGATGCTAGAGAAATTAGATAAACAAAGTGTCAGAGGAGATAGACTTGGAGAAGAATAAATAGGGAATGAGCAGCAGTGAAGGGAAGTGACTCAAGTGGTAGTGGGGAGAAGGTGGGACATTAACATTAGGGGACAGCTGCCAGCCTGACACTCCATCCTGTTGTCTGTGTTAGGGTCTGTGTGGACCTCCCCCTGGGAATGTTCTGGTTACTTCCATTGCTTTCTACTGGATAATCAAGCATGGGGATTTTGCCCATCTGGGAGACTTGCCGTTCAAGGAGACTTGGTGTCTCTCCATTCGCTTCCCATATATACGTTGTGATCGTAAGATGCTGTCTGTGTTCTCTCCCTGCGCTACACTGACTTTCCACCATGTGAGGTGGAATTTGAGAGAGCTGGAAGGTATCAGAAATTAAGCTTTGAAAAGCTAGATAATAAACAGTGAGGAGACATGTCAGTCCTTTTTGTGGTAGGGGAAGACAAACGTGGCAGAATGAGTTAAGGTCTCACATTAGGAAAACAGGACAGGTTAGTGATATAGTAAGGGTGCAGGCTTAGATTTGATCTATTGTTTGAGCAGTATGATTTATGTCAGCCTCGCTGTGTTTCATTCCTGCTTGTTGTACTTGCGCAGCAACATATTGAGCAAGACACTGCAAATAACTTCAAATATTAATGACATCTGGGTAATGTGGGGAATTGCAGGCGCTTGAAAAAAACAGATTGTTTCCCTGTCTAAAGATAATGATGGTGCTAATGCTGGGATTTTAAAGTCTCTCTTTCCATGACTGAGCGAATTTTGAATTTTTTGGAAGAAAGTTGAACATCTTCACTTGGTGAAAATGAGAGAGATCTCTCCCAGAATATCCTGCAGCATAGCGATGAGAGGTTTGCTCTTATGTGTGTATGGCGTTTTTGCACAAAGGATGTTGAGACAGGTTATTGCTGGAAAACTTTGAAAAGCTAGGGCATATGCCTTCAGGCCAGAACGATGATGCAGAGAGAGTTTCCTCCCTCTGACTGTTGGACACCAAGCTGCTTTGTCAGTACTGCTGAAAGATAAGGATTATTGTTTGGGCACATCTCCATACTAATAAAGTGGTGTTGCCTTTGAGACCCAGACTAGTAACTCTTCACAAAGAGCTGTTAACTCTTGGGTATCTTTGTCATGAGTGTCATTGTGTAGTATATGAACTTTATCTCTTGGCTGGTATTTTGTTCGGGGCAGCTTAGGCAGCTTCTTGCTGAGCACTGTTGTGCTTATAGGTCAGTAACTCCCTTTACGTATTATCTGGAGATCCGCGACTGTGGACTCTGTTAGGTAGCCTAGTCGACATTAG